ATGGAACAAAGAATGGAGAAAAAAAATACAGGGTTTTCGACTTTTCAGTACAGTAGAAACGTCATAAGAGCAACAGTATATTCTAAACAAAAAAGTAAAATAAATTTTCTTTATAATCTCAAAAAAACCTTTGCTAAAAAAAGTCATATGAAAGTGGCCAGGAATCGCCTCATATTGCACCACAGAGCATCCATATTCCAAAGCTTTTAGGGGCCCTTTAAGCCACGCCGTAAGGGCTTTGTGCTCCGCGTTCGCATTAATTTTGTCCGTCCTTTAGAAATTCCAGCACCCCCTGGCAAAACTTTGTTCAAGCGGGCTTGAAAATAAGATTCAATAGTCCGAAGGTTCGATAGTCCGAATTGACTATAAGGTTCGATAGTCCGAAAAGACTCTATGATGGTCCGATGGTCCGAATCGACAGTAAGGTCCGATAGTCCGAATCGACAGTAAGGTCCGATTGTCCGAATCGACAGTAAGGTCCGATAGTCCGAATCAACAGTAAGGTCCGAAGAGTCATACTGACGAACCGTATTGCCCATTCGGACAATCGAACCTTATTCTCAATTCGGACTATCGAACCTTTTTCTCAATTCGGACTATCGAACCCTATCGTCTATTCGGACTATCGAACCTTCGGATTAATTAACCGTATTCTATGTTCGGACTAATGGGACCTTCGGACTATCGAACCTTCGGATTATCGAACCTTCGGACTATTGAACCTTCGGACTAACGAACCTTTGGACTATTGAACCTTCGGACTATAACGAACCTTTGGACTAATGACCCTTCGGACTGGAGAACCTTTGTACTATCAAGGCTGTAACCATTACAAACACAATACCAGTGCAGCAAGTCATGTCCTGCAGTTTGTAAAGGTTTTTAGTTTGGGACGTGAAAAAGACAAACAATTATCCATGATGCACAATCACAAGTGTGTTTCTCGATTAAATACACCATCATTGTCGTTGATGGACCGTCTATCCTATTGAAGTATCCATCAGACATCATCTTCTGTGTGACACGGGCAGAGCATCTCTGAAGGTCCGCTGTGTGAGTAGTTTATCATTTCTTGTTTCCACAAAGCTGGATTGCGACTGAGATCGTGCAAATAAATAATCATTAAATAAGCTTCATCTGTAGTCTTGTTTATTAATTATTAGAGATTTTGGTAAAAATGAACAGAAGTCTTTGTAGAAATTGTAGATATAATTCATCTTGCGTAAAATATACCTTTGCAAGTTTACAAACTTCCACACAACGTATTATTTTGCAACATTCGAACGTATAATTGGTTTGAACATTCTACCTTTTTATTGCTTATGTGAACTGTTACTATCGTATTTCAGGACAGTCATCATGGATTGGACTGCTTGCATTATCTGCATGCAAACTACACCAGAAAAACTACGTTGTCCACAAAAAGGTTTAAATTGTAACGCCGGAGAAGTATATGCTCAATTCCTGGCTAATGTTGAAGGGTTTAGGGCAATAAATGCATTGCCAGTTGATGTAGAATACGGAGCCGAAGGGACAGTAGAAACTTTTGTGGAAAATAATGCCTCGTGGCATCATTCCTGAGGTAACATTTATGAGATAATCATGACGTAAGACATTGCATTTTAACGAATCATTGATCACAACAGGGGATAGGAGCGAGAGTCAAATGTACATGTACATACATGTTTAATTTAATACATTAAATTAGAAAACATCCCTCATTTTATCAAACTATTTGTATTTAAATCTTTTAAAGAACTAAGAACAAAATTGCTAACTGCACTGCTTTCCTTGATCTCAGAAACGTATATTAAATGTAAAAAAAACGATCCATGGCTTATTCCTAACTAATATCTCAATTTTAATGTATAAGTGTGTAATAATTAGCCGATGACGTCATAATGATGTAATAAATGGCCCTTCCCATCATCAAATTTTTGTATCCTACCTTGTTTTCGAAAAGGTAAATAATGGAGATGCTTTGGTGTGAAAATGGTGCTTTTGTCCACCCGTGTCACGATTTTATCACTAAGGTACCTCACTTTTCCGCTTATCTTTGGAACAAGTTTAAACATTTAAGATACTAATAATCAATTACAAAATATCTTTTGGCATAGAATTTGAGCCTTTCTCTCTGACTTAAAAACAACATCTCACAATACCACATACTGTTTGCATGTTAAAACCAGGTGTCAAAGTGACTACCCAAAATCCATGATTTTAGCCGGAAAAACAGGTCTTTTGACCAAAAAGGGTTTTTTGACCCACAAAATCACCCTCAACTATATTCCATCCCAATGACATACCACTCAAATGAAAGATCTTGTTGTCCCCTTTAATTTGATACCAAATTTGTTGTTGAGATGCTTGCAGTTCTGAAGATTATTATTAATTTATATTTTTTCATGTAATAATTAGCTGATGACGTCATAATGACGTCATACATGCCCTTTCCATCATCCAATTTTTTGCGTCCGTCTTTTTTTCGAAAAGGTATACTATGGAGATGCTTTGGTGAAAAAATGGTGCTTTTGTCCACTGTGTAACGATCCTTAGCATTTTTGTTACTAATGTACCTCACTAATCGGGCGTGCACAAAGAATTCTTCTGCGATTCTTTTAACAATGCCAGGATTAAGTTTCCACTCAAGGTCGTCATGAAAATTCTGTCGTCCTTTTGCCCCAGGTTGTGCCCTGGGCCAAAGTTTGTTTGTCTCTTGGATATTCTTGCTCTGTTGGGGTAAGTTTTCCCAAAGATCAACTCTGTGACTGGCACTCGTGCCGAGCAGATGCTCCCGAATTGTTGGTTGAGGTTTGGTTTTATGAGTTCTCTGCGTCGGAGATTTAACTCCTAATTTGCATGGCCAATAATGGCAAGCGAGCGTGATGCGTAAGTTGTCATCGGCACTTTGGTACTAGGGGCACTGTGGCCTTAAGAAAAGCCTTCTGTTGAATTTTGATATCTGTTGATCGACTTTGATATCAGTTGATCGCCCATATTTCAGGGTTTACTCGTGTGTATTCCAATGGGGGGGGGGGGGGGCATGCAGTGCTGTCTTTTGTTGAGAGGATCCAAAACTCAATTCATATGGCTTTTAGCACAGAGAGCCTGGTTTCAATGCTGGTTTGAAATTCGTCTGTCCGAGAGCTGAGACTTCAACCTATTCTGTCAAAATCAGACTTTTCTGGGCATAAGGTTAAAAATGAGATTTTTGACATATGGTTAAAATATGAACATGTTCCTTTTAATAGGTGGTTTAATTTTGAAACCGGTCATTCCTGGGCAAAGTTATGCTATTTTGAAGTTCATCATGTCGAAAAGTAGAAAACGGAGAAAATGGCAGTTAAAGTTTGGGGGTCTATTTTAAGACCTGTTTCATGTGACATTTCTTTAACTGATATACCTTAACAAATCTTCAAAAATACTATATTTAGGGTTCAAATTAGGGTTTCAAACTTTTATAGTATATTTTAGACATGTTCAAGATTACAAATATGCAAAAAGTAGAAAATCGAAAAAAAATCACACCACAACCTCAATTTCAACCTCTGCCCAGAAGCGTCTGCTATTGACAGAACAGGTCACCTGTTGTTACATGCACCCTACCTTCAGATTTAGAATTTTTGTTTTTGGCATCCAAAAGACTCGAAACAGTTATTGTTGTTAACAATATAGAATAGTCGAGAATTGTTCCTCATCACAAAATACGTTTTTTTAAAATAAACTAATTACTTGATATGCTATGGGCTAATTGATCTTTAATATATATATTTTTTGGTATTCCTGACCATTGTGTAAAACAGTATGCATGCCCGTTAGATGAAATCAACTTATTACGTGCCCTTCCCTTCACATGTATTCAAAATATCATAGTGATCGGTCAAGCATGTAACTTGAAATATACAACGAAATGCAATAAATATTTATAATGGGTGCCGGGTGCAGAGATTCTGTTGACAACGATGATGAATAATTCGCCCTTCAGAATTACTGAAACCAACAGTTCCTACTCTTTCCATACACACACACACACCCACACACAAAGAAACTTCGATTTGTCGTTATTTTCGAAGCGCAAACGACGAGTTTTTTCTACGATTTGATAAGCACGATGTTCTTCGACCATTCATATTAGTACTTCGGAATATAATTTGTTGAGCAAACGGTACGTGCATGGGAGCAGGACTGCGAGGGAGGGAGGGGGGGGGGGCTTTACACTGTTACTATTGAGACGGCTTACGTACCCTAATCGCCTAGAGGACCTTTGCCCAATATTTGGACTCCAGCACGTAAACGCTCAGAATCGAGTGATAGATAAAGTGATTAAACTCATTTGTGATGACCACGGCCATCGCTTGTCGAATTCGAATCAACCGTCTGATTTGAACCGTGACTATAAAATAACATAACAAACTGCGCAAGTTTTCAGAATGCATCTCAAATAAACTAGTGCCACATAGGAAACTGTTGGGGATTCATCTACGGAACTTGGACAGCATTTCTGCTGGCCAACACGAAATCATTTAATGATGTATAATTTTTGTACATATAATTAACTGCATCCATGCGCATTACAAGTTCCTGTTAGTTGTTACACCAAGTGGAAAGATTGCCAACCGATACCCTCCTATGCTTTCCACCATTTTTCAAGAACGAAAAAAGTAAGAGTTCTTTTTTTCCCCTAAAGACAAACTCATACCAAAGGAGCATTTGCTTTGGTGATTTGTTTAATTGTTTGTCTGTTGGTTGGATGTTTGGCTGCGTGTGTGTTTGTTTGTTTGTTGGGGTTTTGGGGTGTTTGTTTGTTTGTTTGTTTGACTAGAATATTTTTCAAAATTCTACGTACACTGTTGAAAAGTTGTTTATAACGGCTTACAACACTGAAAAACATTTGTGAAAATCAACGAAAAGAAAAGAGCAACAATGTAGTAAACGAATTTAATACAAATTATTCTTATTTGGGCTGAACATTTCTTTCTTTCACGTCTAGTATCTAAGAGATGGGTATAGATATGGAGTCCGTAGATACGACAACAGGATCCGAAGACAAGCCTCTCCTCGAAGCTGAAAAGGGTAACCAGAGATTTCCTTGGGTTTCCCTGGCCATCTTTCTGGTTCTGCAAATTCTTATCGCCGTTCCAGAGGGCATGCTGCAAACCCTCTCGGTGCAGTTCGCTCGCTCGGCGTTTGCCAGCGAACGGAACGTCACCCTCCCGGTGGGAGTCAACGCGTGTGCGACCAGTCCCCACGAGAGCAGTGAGCTCGCCGACGTCCAGGCGGCCGTCGCCCTCTTCGCTACCTATCAGAGCTGCTTGAAGGATTTCATCCCAGTCCTGACCGCCCTGCCACTAATTGCCCTGGCTGACTTCACCGGCCGCCGGCCCGTACTGCTTTTGATATGCCTCGGTGGACTAGTCGTAACTACTGGCTTCCTGATCGTCTCCTTCTTTGAGATATCCGTTTATTACACCCTCGTTGGTTCTGCAGTTTTCGGCGTTTGTGGGGGGTTTATACTGCTGAATTCCATCAGCATGCTGTACGTCACAGACATTGTCCCCAAAGAACACAGGGGGGTCGCACTGGCGATGATCTACGCTTTTGAGAATGTTGTCATTTATCTGGGCCCTTTGGTGATTAATGTGTTACTTGAGGCTCTGTCTTCGTACACGATATGCTTCTTGATACCAGCTTGCTCCGCGCTGTTGGCGTGCCTGTGGATGCTGCCCCCTGATCTAGTTCAGGAATCCGTCAAGAAGCAGCCGCTTGACCTGGGAGTGGCTTCGGGCATCGGTCACGGCATCTGCCGTCTTTTTACAGACACCTTCAGCGTCCGACTCGTAGTCCTCTTGGCATGCGATTCGGTAGTCAACCTCCTGGTTGAAGGCTTCGACAACACCATGTCTCTGTACGGCTTGGGTGAGCCGTTCTGCTGGTCGCCAACCCTCTTAGGTGTGTTTTCGGTCGTACATGGTGTCCCACACTCACTCGGTAAGAATATTCATGATTCGATTCCGTAGGATTACGAGCCAAGATTTTCATTTCAAGCTGGGGCAATTTTATACAGGGTGTCCCCAAAAAGGTACAACTCACAAACCAAGGGACAATATGATCAAGCTACGAACATAGATACCATAACTTTGGTTTTATCATAAAGTAGGGGCAGTAAGCTTACCATTGATATCTTGGATGGATGCATACCTCTGGTCATGCAGCACTGAGTTCCATTGTTTTAAACATGGTATGTAAAAATTTCTATAGTTTCTGGGTAAAACAATGATTGTGAACACAACCAGACACAAGACAAGTAGCTTCAAGGGATTTTTCAAGAAACAACTTCAAAAGAAAAGGTACGTCGTACGCGGCCCCCTGGCTGGTATTCTACGTTTGCTAAGCAAATCTCTTCTGTACAGGGTGAATAAGAAAACAAAACCCAAATGTCGGGATACTGTTTTAGTGAAGTTCTGCATGTAGCACTTTCAAAATTTCGGATATCAAAGCCCAATTCATAAGCTTTCTTTTAGTATAAGAATCATTCAAATCACTCACGTACTCATGTTACGGAAATTTAAACAAAACCACCGTTTTAAAGTTCTGTCCACGGATCACAAAAAAAGGTTTGCGTTCTTTCAGCAAAACGAAAACAATTCACACACATCCCGATGTGATTTGTTTTCGTTTTGCTGAAACAACACCTTAGCTTTTTGTGATCCGTGGACGGAACATAAAAACGGTGGTCGTGTTTAAAATTCCGTAACTTGAAAATTAAATGAGTGATTTGAATGATTCTTCTACTAAAAGAAAGCTTATGAATTGGGCTTTCATATCCTACATTTTGAAAGTGCTATACATGCAGAACTTTACTAAAACAATGGTCCCGACATTTGGCTTTCGGTTTTATTTTACTCGCCCTGTACTCGCGAAATCCTGAGCTAAGCTCCGTGAAAATTTCCCATGAATGTTTTAGCATATCAAAAGCTTTACTTTATTTCTATTTTTTTTCCAGCGGCACCATTAATCGTGTGGGTGATTGAGTTATTTCTCTCCGATTACTGGTTGATATACATAAGCATTTTGTCATCTATCGCGCAATTTCTATTAACAGCAGTGGCAACAAGTAACGAAGTCTTGATCTACGGAGGTAAGACATTAAAAGATCTCAGAATGCAAGTGAAAGTTAGTGCAAAGATCAAAATCATTTCCCCGCTGGGGAAAAAATCACTTGTCAGGCTGTCTGAAGACTCACTCTGTTAAAATATTTTCTTCGAGTTTCGCACGAAAAAAAAAGGAACTCATTGATCTTCGTGCATTCCCTAGCTTCTGCATACACTCCAGGGAGACATGCCTCACTGATCAGTCAGCATCCCCGTCTCAACTGTTGCATTCTTCACTCGCTTCACTGCTTCCAGTCACCACATAACCTCCCCTCACCGTTGCAATCCCTACTGACGACGAACAGGGCAAAATGTCCGAAACGTTGAGTCCCCCCCCCGTTCTTATAAGAGATACACTCAACCAAAAAAGTCCCCCCTTCCAATACTTTTTTGTCTAACTCAAAAACTACTGAGCACCTCTCGCTCAATATCACAAATGATACCGAAAACAGTTGCCCTTTTGTATACGTGCAAGTTGTGTTTTACACTCACCTTGCAAGCATACCAAAATGCAACTTTATTGCGGTACCATTTGTCTTAAATTGCATAATTGTGTACACATTATCACTGTTTTGGGCCAAACAAAGAGTATGGCCGGATTGCTAAGGAATTTTGTACCGATCAGTCGTAGTTTGAGCAAGATGTGCCCAGTAGTTTTTGCGACTAAAAAGTATTGAGAGCGGACTTTCTTTTTTGGTTGAGTGTATGTCACTTGGTGCTAGCGTAAATCCAATATAATTCATTTCAATTTTCAAGTCTTCATAGGTAAGTTGTTGCGGTAGCACCATGTGACAAAATCTCTTTTGTGAGTATGTGTGGTTCTGAAAAGAACGGGAGGGTCTCAACGTTCGGACAGCATGCTCTATGTGTCTCCTGACGACGGGCAGAACATACTGTCCGAAACGTTGAGTACCGTCTGGGTCTTTTCAGAACCACACAAACTCACAAAAGAGATTTTGCCACATGGTGCTACCGCATCAACCTACCTTATTATTACCCTTCACCATTATTACCCTTCACCTTCCAATCTCTTGTAAAAGTCTTCCTTTTAGATATCAGCTTTTACATGGAATAAAAACACTTTTAATCTTTTTTTCCAGCTTCGCTAGTCGGGATATTTGCTGGTGTTTCCCAGCCAGTGTTTGTGTCTCTCATAACGAGGCTAGTGGACACCAAATTCCACGGTATGTTTACATGTAGTTCACAATTTTTTATTAAAAGACTAGAGCAAAAATATATACGCCCGTGGACTGGCATGGCTGAACAGAAGCTTGTGGTAAACGAAGGTACCGGTGCGGGTATTTCGAGGTACGCGGTTCATAAGATCCCATTCTCTTGAATGGGGTATGACTTCAAGATAAACAGAGTTTGAGGCATTTGTTTGGGGAAATTTAACAGCAACAGATGGATGCAATTTTCAGTAGGGTAAAATAGCATGTTGATCAACATTGGTCAGATCATAATTTAGTATGATTTGGGCACACGCTGTCTATTTATTGGGTATGTATTTGATGGTTTGATAAACCTACTAAAATGTTGATCAAAAATGACTTTTTCCCCAAAATTTTTTAGGATTTTTTACACGAGAGAAGGCACTTTTTGCTAACTTTGCAGTGAAGTGTTTTGGGCAGGCCGGCCATATAGCATTTCTAGCTCGCGAAATTAGTCGCGGTGTGGCCGCGGAAGATTTGTTGCGAGAATGGGGGCTGTCGGACCTGAGTGGTACGTATTTGGGTGAGAACATTTTTCGTGCTTCCCAGATAATTAAGAGCTGAAATAACTTTTATGTATGAGTTTAGTCAGAATGCTAATCGTCGCATCATGGAGGTAGGCCTAGCAAATGTCAGGCCCATAATTATGTACGTGTTGCTTACATGTACGCGATGTAGACCTAACCTACATACGATACAATGTCACAAGCATAATTAATAACAGTTATATAGATATCGCGGGCACGTGTTGCCATTTCATCTCTCCTATATTGTACAGTTGAACATAAATGATCAGTGCAATGAGATATTTGAGTTTGATTTAAAACTAAGGCATGTTTGTAAATAAAGTGGACGGATCATTGCGAAACAAAAGTTTCCACAAACATTTGAAATAATTCCTGCTCAACGGTTTTTAAAAAAATGAAATTTCTCAGAAAGTTGGGAAAATTTCCTACCCAACACATGGGCAGAGTAAATGCCTGAAAATTGTTGAATATTTTTAACCTTTCTACTCGACGTGAATCAGAGGCCACATGTGCACTCATTTACATGTGCAAATTAACACATCGCTTGAACACTCCCTTTGTTCCATGCATACTTTACATAGGTTTTAATTAGGACTCTCAGTGCATTTTTTCCCACTCGCTAGATTTCTTTTTTGGGGGTGGGGTGCGATTGGGCTAATTGAAGTTATTCAATTTAATTAAGTGATTTATTTAATTTTCATAGTCTTTGTTTGACTTTTCTTTTCATGAAGGACACTATACATTTGCCAACATAATGTGGACGTCACTTATGTCATGAGACAGAACCAGCCCAACGTGCTAGTCTTGTACAGCAAATCTCACGGTGCTAGAGCCAACAGACGTGTTTGTGATGGTCGAGAAACAGGATTTACCACAGCAGTCTTTGATGAAGACCATCGATGTCCTATGACTTGTATCAAAAAGCAATCATCGTAGAAGTTGAAATTTTGTTTCCATTTTTTTTTATAAACATGCTGTCTTGCTTTAAATTATATTTAATTCTGTGGTAATTGAAACACCAAGTAATCAATATTTATTATAATTGTCAGTGGATCAAGGGAAACTTTGCGGATTTAATTTTAAACATCTCTTTGAAAATCGTATTTAAAAAAATCAGCCCGCAAATGAATATATCTTTTGCATTAACGTACAGCGCTAGACACATTGATTAAAATGCCTTATTATGATTGAAAGACATGTTTGATAACAGTTTATTAGACTAATGCAGACTCAAAACCAACAAATAATGGGGGTTACACACATGTTACACTGAGATGCATCTACCATTTTGCACAAAAAGGACCTAATTCCAATATCAAACATAATTTTGAACAATTTGAATTGTAACAGAATGCAATCGTCGTTAGTTGATACTTAAAAAAAATCAGAACATGCTGGATTTGAGTTACATTTCATTATGTACCGTAGTAATTGAAAACCACGTCATCATCATAATATGTTTTAGAAAATGTTGTCTTGTTCGAGTTATATTTAATTCCGAAATAATTGAACACCAAGTCTTAACGTATTATTGTCAGTTTAAATCTTAATCATCTCTTTGAAAATCGTGTTTTAAAAAGATCATTATTAAAAAAAAATCATTTAGTGTGATCAACTACCCGCTTTAAAGGGTATTGCATCAAAGTTTTAATTTTAAAAAGTGTTCAAAAGTTTGATGATGCTGTTTGTAATAAAATATTACAAAAACCAAGTCTCGCTTTAAATGTATCCCTTATTTAAGCATTCCGCAAACATCAACCATTGGTCAACACAATTGCCCTGAATTATAAAATTGAGCAAATCTATACAATTATAGTACCCAACATATGACTTTTCTTAGTAACCAATAATTGAGAAAATACTAACCACCAACTTGTCACAAATTATTGACCATTTTTCGGTTAATGCATGGCTTACCAACAATTGGTTCTTTACATTTACCCAACTAATGGATGATTACATGTACCCAACTGTTCCGTCTGTAATTTTTCCTAAGTTTTAGGTAAACGTGTTTGCCCAACAAATTATTTTGGGTGCCTATATGGAATATCCGCTTGCAGACGAGCGTCTATGATAATTCGCGCAGATTCGGCGAATAATAATTATCAAAACCACACCGCGTCTTGACCTCGAGATTCTGACCATTAGCGGGCGTCTTCTATCGCGTCTTCCGTCGTAACCCGTTATTATTGTATTACAAACACATGTCAACCAAACTGACCAATCAACAGCTGAGTCCAGACTTTTGATCGACATGACGTCACAGTTTCAAAAGTCGACTTAGCTGACGGGCGGGGTGGCATAAAATGTGCATGCTTAGATATATACCAGATGGATACGGATAGAGGGCTCTGTTGGACGGGTGATACTCGGACTATATTGTGTCATGTCCCGCCCGAATATAAAATGTTCGGTATATATAGGATTAGTGACCCTAATTTGTTCTGCCCCCTTTTCCGGTAAAAAATGTTCCTAAGTACGGAGGCGCATTAAAAGGGGCTATGCAAAGGTTTCCCCAATTGGTTTCTCGACGCGGCGTGTTACTATATCTCTTAGTTTACTCTGCTATAGTCAGTAACTCGCCGCACTGCCATCTCGTCCCCGTGAGTTATACCCATCGCATTTTGTTTGGTGGCACTTATAGTACGATAGTATACAAATATTGAGTGGCTCAGCGTGGAATGGGATGAATATTATCGCAAGGTAAAATCTGGACTTTTCCATTTCCCGAGGCGAAGCCGAGTGAACTGGAACAGTCCAGATTTTACCGAGCGATAATATTCATCCCATTTCACAATTTAAAGCCACTCAATATTTGTTTTATATAACTGACATATAGATCCTTGTCATTTGATATATTTGAACTTTTTTTTTTCAATACAAAACTGGAGGAAAATGTACTTCTCTCTTCCAAACCACCCCTTCACGAAAATGTTTGAACCCAACGATGTAGCGCTGGCTCTTTATTAGGACAAAAAGAAAGGCTTTTCCGCCTTTAAGCAAAAAAGCCAATAAACATGGCCTCTTTTCAAGAGATTTGCCATTCTGAGTCAATTTAATCAGATTTCACGCACGTTGGGCCCAGCCGTAAAGGGAATACACATCATTTGCTTTTGCTGTAATTTTCAGAAATGGATGGATTTGGGGGGGGGGGGGGGTTGGTAATATATAGCAAATATTGTTACACTGACTTTTTTGAAGTTTTGGGCTCTTAGATGCTATACAAACCAAGACAATTAAATAATCATTTTCCTGTAGTCTGGTTCCCTGACTCTATTTAAGATGACACGGAGCAAATTCATAGTCATTGGGGAATTGTATGGTCAGGGAACCAGTCTAGCTGGCCAAGTTGTACCCGTTCATGGGTGTGTAATCGATTGCAAACAAATGCAGACTATCGTAACTAAATATGGTCAATTGGGGCCAGTATTTGAAAAAAGGAAGGTTTTTTCCAACGCTGGTCGGCCGACCAGCGTTGGCTTGATACAAAATACCACTTTTCTTGCAAATGACAGTATACCAGGTGCCATGATTAGGATGCTGTCTGTCATTCACTAATAGTCCAGCAAGATATTTCAGAATAACTTGGCAGTTTTATTTTTTTTGATGTTCGCAAATGTTGTATTTTCCCTTTAAGGTTTTTCTTGGTCTTCTTGTTATTCTGATCTTGTCAACACAGGCGCACTGTTTTCTATGTACTCGCTGGTCTACGGTGCCTCCACAACTTTCTCGCTTATCCTCCAGAGTGCAGCATATTCCTTCACTGTTTCCGCTGGTCTCAACGTTGTTATTTTCTATGCCATGGCTTCATTAAGCGCACTGGTACTCGTGCCTACGATGTAAGTATGACATCAAGATATGCTACTGGTGACCGTTATGTTCAGGGTGACCGTTTTGGCCGAATTTAAACTAAATTTGACAGAATTTGTCGGAAAAAAACACGAGGGTGACAGAAAATTTAGCAGGATGATTTTTTCAGCAGATTTCTAGCAGAATTCTGTGAAATTGGTGATCTGAGAGAAAAACATGGCAGATTTGAAAAATGCAGCTAATTAGTTTAGAACAAGCTTCAATTTGTTTTGTTTAAGGAAATTTTATAACATCTGCATGTGTGAGTGTACAAGTATTTATAATAGATTTTGTTAAATTTAGCAGATTTTTGAAGTGCATCTAGCAGAATTTTGCCATTACCTTACGGTCACCCTGATTATGATAAGGGACCATTTAAAATGACTAGTGCAGTGCCCGTCTAAAATGTGCATGTTCGGGAAGCGCAAATTCCCTTGCCGCTGGTATTGGTTGCATGCTTGCAGAGTTTTGAGAACTGCTCGTGCAAACAACGCACGCGATTCAATGGTGTTGTTTTCACAGGTTGAACGCACACTCACGTCAAAGTTTGTGCCAAGTTTGAAGTTGTTTGGGCGAGTGGTTCTCGAAAAAGCTGCAAAAAATAGCGCCGATATTCACCCCTACTGGACAATGGTATATCGCCCTGCAGTAAGTTTGCTCAGTCGACCGCCTACAATGGTCGCTCAGTCCACGTTGCGTCAGTTTGGTCGTTCGAATTCGCTATTAAGCAAGCATTTGTGAAATGTAAGTGAAGGAATTCGAGACAGGTTCATGTAATTACTTTGTTGGTCAGAATTCAATAAAGTGTTTTTATCCAATTTGAAAACACATGACAGCTGTTTCCCACGCCACAAAGCAGCAGTCCAAACATAAATATATTGATCATTTTTCTTGCATAAAAAGAAAGCAGATGTTACTGAATTGAAGCATGTTTACGATAACGCTAACTAAGAAAAGAGCAAAGGTAAATATGTAATTTACGCACATAATTATAACCAAAAATTATACACGTACATGAACACGATAAAAAGAGGGCAATGATCTCCTGAGTTTAATGTTTATATGTCGACTTTCATGTATCATTTTTAATTTTCTCGCATCAGTTTAGATTTGTTACCTCTTTAGATTAAAGACAGATAACGGATACTGATTGCAATGGTACCTCACCAGTTTTGCTCTCATACCTAAACGGAGAAGTTTCAACAGTTCGTACCATTTTTTCGATGCCCAGCATCGGAAAAATGGTTTTGCAGTGTAAAAAAACAAGAAAGCCATAATAAAAACATGTACTTTTAGATGATAAGCATATGTTACATAAACTCCAGGGACTCAGAGGCTGCGTCAAATTACAAATTGAAATTTACTGACACTGTTTCTGTTTTTGAGTAGTCATAATGTGAACCCCCAAAAATATCATGAGATCACGTCACGAACTTGCAGATCAAGACGGCTGTGGGGAGTCGAGGCAATTAAACATTGCCGTGAGACTGTAGGGGCATGTTTTGTCCACAGTTGTCGTGGCCGGGGTGCCACCTAGCTTGCCCTCGACTGTCGCGGGCGAGGGCAAGACATTTTGCATCACGATGTCCTGGTTGCACGCCGCACAACAAACTCTCCTCAATTCGAACTCGGATTGGTTAACGGACTTGCGCAGTCCATGGGCAGATCTTATATCCATTGTAGTTGCAAGCCGGTGTCACGGTCTCACTTCTCCGGCGTGCTAGCTTCTCCGGGTCGATTTGGCGGATAACTGAGCACGTTACAGTGCACGTTACATGAGCACGATTCATGCTCATGTGTCCGCTGTGCTTACTTTTCCTCGGGCTGTTTTCTGAAGTCTACCAAGCCCATTAATAACACAGTGAGGGACACCCAAGAATGTGTTATGTAACACTTCCTGTGGGTCAAGTCATTCCATGGTCTTGCAAGCATTCTGATTTGTGTTCCCAGCGTCATGCATGTGTGTGTTCATGGAGGAATAATTAAGAACGAACTCCTTGGTCCGTGTTCCTTGCTCGTTCGTGGTCCGTTTTGTCCTTATTTTTGCAACCACGGCTTAAAATAAATGTGCATTTCAAATTCAAGTCTTAAATATTGGGAGTTAATAGTGCGCGCCACGAAAATTCTATGCATACAAATATCTTACGTACACAAGTACAGCCCCGAAAAACTCAGCACACTAATACAGTGACGAAAATGTACACTACTGCGCAATTTTGTGCATGCGTGTTGAAGCGAAATTTCCGTTTTGGAGAAGCTAGCACGCCGGAGAAGTGAGACCGTGACACCGGCAAACTATTACGCAAGGGTTTTTGCCCCAAAATGTCCGGTACACAGCACCGGCAAATTTGGGGCACAGCGAAGGAGGCAAATAACAAACCACCACAATAGTGTTTCCGTTACTCAGCGGGTTGAACACTAACATTTATGGAATGCAAAGGACGGTGCTATATGTATGCTATCATGTACATGTATTAAGGAGACTTTGTGCATGGAGCTATATGCTTTGTGTAAGCTATAAGAACCTCAGTTCTCGATGACCTGGTGTCACAGGACATAACGGTCGGAGGGTAATTCAAGCAATGGAGCCCGCTTTAAGGACTTTGGATCGGTGTATACGTGTGCTTTACCATTATCATACAGGCAGGAATTGCGTTCACAACTTCTATGAAGCCCAATATGAAGGTATGAAGGTATGAAGCCCAATAATTGCGGTGACTAATCTAGGTCGTATGAATTTACAGTTCGTTTACTGGGAAAGTAGCGCACGACGGATAGGGGGTCACGGTTTAAGGGCTTTGCTTATGATGATTAACCATATCACACGCTCATTAAGGGCAGTCATATAGTGGCCAGATTGTCAAGGAATATAGGCATCACACGATTAAGGATTATGCCCCATGTTGGCAACTATGTGGGTGGCTGTCAATATGTAACCGATCATGACTTATGGGTATGGGTTGTCTCCAGTTGGAGCAAAGTGGCGGTAAAAGTCAATTCAATTAGTCAGAGGTAGTGGTGCAGTGGTGTCTGCAGTACATTGAAGTGGAAGTAAAAGTTACAGAGGTGGGCTACAAATTTACATGACAGGCGTTCATATGACTTATTCTTTAAGTGTTGTCTACGGTTGGAGTCACGTTACAGGAACCGTAAACCAGGTTGATTGTGAAGAAGTGGTAATCGATCAAAATTTATTGGTAAGCAAGATTGTGGTGGTCGGTCAGACTATTGAACCTATCAGGTGATTATAAATGTTGTAGGCGATCTGACGTATCGGTATTGAAACCAGGGGTTGTGACACTTAATTGTGTTCGATAGTGACGTTGAAGATGGGTAAACCAGGTTGGTTTTAAACAATTTGTAGTCAATTCTGACCTGTTATTTGTAACCCTTACCCATGTTTGTTATACAACTGGTAACTGAGCAGGAATAACGGTTGAATACTTATCGAGCATGATTATTGGTAAACGAGGTTATCATGAAGTCGATCATGATTTGTTGGCATACCACATTAATTGGTTACAACAGATTGGTAGTCGATTACGACGTAACGTGGGGTACTAAAACTGGTTTGGATAAACAGTGTGTAGTCAATCTTAAGGTAGTGGGGAACCAGGTTGGTTACAAACAAGTTGTTGCCGTTCAAGATTTAATGGTAGTGGTGGTTACAAACAATTGGTAGCTGCTCGTAGTTGTAAAGTGGGTCTCCAGTGGGAGTACACGTGGGGGAAAATGATAATAATAATAAGAAAAGAAGTAACCTCGTAACTGCGTAAGGCTGTTTGTAAAGGGAAGAATCCAATCATCAGGTTGGCATGAGATAGCAAGCTTGGGGCCTAACTACGTTCTCAGTTTTCTCAACGAGTTTCGAGTTTTCGTAGCCGGCTACTATCACGATTGGTTCTTAGGTTATGTGCGATTTTGGTTTTCACAACTGACATTGGAAAAATGGATTACATGTACTTAATATGGCCGCTCAACGGATAAGACTTTATCGTTCATTCCAGAGACAAGTTGGCAATTTGGCATTTGGATAACACTATTGTGTGGGTTACAGGCTTCTCCATAGTATGTTGTAACATATCCGGACACGTAGTGCGAAATCCAAAGTATTGTGGAATGTGTATACTTTTTATGTCAAGATATATTGCATTTATTCAAGGGTTTAGGGGATAAGCAGTAGTTAGTTGGTCACATGTCTTGTGGGTCTAGTAGTGTCTCCAGTGGAACGGGAGTAAAGTCGGAGACAATCGAGTAACCAGGCCCACCCCCCAATTTTTTTTATAATGGTTGTATCTTGTATGGTTGTTTGGATGGTTTAAGCCCAGGGAGGGAGAGGTGAGATTGGCCATTTGTGGTAGGCCAAGGGTCAGCACAGACGGACGAATTGTAATGATTGATATGAGCCACTTTCCCGCCATGGGCTCTTGTGCTGCGGATAAGGAAATTATCCACAGCGTTTATATCAGCTTGTGAAAAGCGAGGGCGCTTCGAATTGTTGTGAGAAGCGATTGCGCTTCCAATTGTAGGGATATCCGTATATAGTCCCTTGGGACTTGTGAGAAGCGTTTGCGCTTCTAATGGTAGGGATATCATATTAGTCCATGGGGACTTGTGAGAAGCGACTGGCGCTTCTAATTGTTGGGATATCCGTAGTCCTTTGGGAACTGTGAGAAGCGATTGCGCTTCTGTATGGATATCCGCAGTCCATTGGGACTTGAAAGTAGCGATTGCGCTGCTAACTGTAGGGATATAGCCGTAGCCTTGTAATGATTATAACTGTTAGCATGTAAGTTGTTAATATGATTATTCAACCATGCTGGTATGTATACCTGGACCTGGTAATGATCATAACTTATATGTAAATTGTACATGGGATTGTTAAACCATGCTTGTTGGACGGTATCAAGCGAATAAATGCTTGCCGAGTGACCACAGTGCTTTTCTTCGGTGTGACTCTTTCACAAGCGTGACATTTATTTGGAGATTTTTAGCAACGCGCACCACCATTTTGAAATGAAAAATAAATACGAGGAAAAAAAGGAGCAAATTTTGAGGTGACTATCCAGCTTGATAATACATATTAAGTTTTGTTGGAGACATAATAACTACTGGTCAAAAATATTACTTTTATGGACATAAAAATACACGTTTGTGCACAAACTATACGGGAATGTAGGTGCGAACGCTTTGCCCCACGCACTATTGCGCGTAGAGCTTCCATGACGGAACGGGAACATTTTGTGCACACCCTATGGCGCGTATGCACACGCTGCCGATCTAGTCTTTTTATTCTATATCTATGGCTGCTTGCCGTTTTGGTTACGATATTTTATTTCTGCAAACTTATAAACCTGTAAACCTTTACATTGTGCAGGCCATTTTACTCAAGAGCAAATGGTTTTCAGTAAAAGCGTTTGCTTATTTTTTTTCATATAGATGCGAGTATAAAGGCTTAAAAAAAAATTTAACATTAATTTTTCGCGATTAACATAAATAAAATCAGAAATGTTTGCGCAGAATTATTTGCTTTTATATTTTAAAGGAAGCCCCAACCCAGCCTTGAAATATGACAGGTTTATATTTGAATTCGGACGCATTTACTCCTTTTTATTCATATGAAACGAAGTAAACGCTATAGTATAGCAAAAGCTAAAGGGTAAAAAGTATTTATTTTCAGATTTAAGCAAATGGTTTTCAGTAAAAGCGTTTCCTTGATTTTCATTCGTACATATGCGAGTATAAATGCTTAAGAATTGGTAGTAAAAGCAAATGCCATGATTTTATTCATACAAACATGGTATCATTTGTACTTTATGAACTTTAAATTGATAATATTAATATTTTGCGATTAACATTAATAAATGCAGTAATTTTCGGACAGAATTATTATATCTGTTTTGTTATACAGTTTATTGGGTGGCCCAAAGTACAACCTCATGTAAAAAGAAAAAAAAAGTCGAAGAAGGTACACAAAGTCATGTACCTATCACAGAACGGTTTTAATAGCATTTGTTCAACAGAGTAATCATCGAATAACATGTTTTGTTTCCTTTCGTTTAATCAGATGTATGCACATCCTGGAACCAAAAGATGGCTTTGATGATAAATCTCCGTAAACAACACATTTCCTCTTTGATCTCAGAAATCACGGAGTTGATTCTGGTAGTTATAGATCATCTATACCCATGTGAGATTATAGTTACATGTATATACCCAGCACGATGTGGTACAGAGGGGTACCCCCCCCCCCAACCTCCCTATACACACCCTAGACTATTTGTGTGACATCCCCCTAGAATTCTTGAGATTCCGGTAACACAATGACCAACACACACAAGGGGGGGGGGGGGGGGGATGGTTCCTTCTGTCCCATATCGTGCTACATATGTGCGTTTATCCAGAAAGGTTAATCCGAATATAACTTTAACGCTGTCAAAGTTGTTTCCTCATAATCATCAGCTTCCATGAATACCTTTTATATTGGCATCTCTGTAGTCACGGATGACCGAGTACCATTGATTTGAATTTACAAAGGCTTATAAAACAATCTTTTTTCGAATCTGCCTGATTCAGTGGTGAACTGAGCCATCTCCGGTGGATTATGCGTTAAATGGGGAAGGTGAATTATGTGGAATGTATTGATTCATAAAATGAAAAGCACGTTTTACGGTTGAGTAAATGTCAACGACCTTCTTTTGCTTATTCGTAGTTATCCTGTAAAAATCCTACAGTTACGTTTTTTTTATAATTTTAATGTATTTTTTTTAATGTCTTGGCGAATGGCGGCCATACTGGATTCTTAGCGTGCATTGCAGTTGGTCACGTGACCATGAATTTTAGTCTAAAGTGGATACTTGACAGGTTTAGGGAGAGAAAATATGGTTCTGACCCTCAAATGTGCAAATGTCAATGTTTTTATACAAAAGAGCAAAATTGATGATTACTGGTGTTTCTGAACTGCTTACCATGGTAACCAGGGACATCCTACGGCATTTGTTTTGCTGTTTGGTACAATATTGACCTCCTGGGGCAAGTTAGATACAGTCACCATATATCTTATCCATCAATCAAAGTGTGGCTATAAAAAGAGAATTGTTTGAGACACATTTATGGGACTACACTATACAGTGTGTATCAAAACAAATGCAAACAAAATTTAACAGAATGCCAGACACAGAATGTGTGGTTTGAAAGATACGCCTTCCCATTTTAATAAAATGAGACATCCAACGTCCATGTCTGATAATTGTTGACAGAGTTATGAGTAATTTTCCAAGACAGAGGTCAAATCGACCATGGGACCTAGTTTTCAATTTTAGGCATTGGGATGAAGGTAGCCAAATTGCCTCTGTGTGGATCTTTGCCTGGTCTACAAAAAATGTGTTTAGCGAGTTAACACAATTGTAAACACTGTGTCTTGCTATCGGTTTGTAAACATGTTTACATGCTAAACATTTTTAGCATGAGGTGATAGCAAGAATGTGTTTAGAATTGTGTTTACTCGCTAAACACAATTTTTGTAGGCCAGGCAAGCGCATATATCCACACAGATACCGTTGTCCCAATGCCTAAAATTGAAAACTTGGTCCCATGGTCAATTTGAGCTCTCTTGGAAAATTACTCATAACTCTGTCAAATTTGGACGTTTGATGTCTCATTTTAAAGTGGAAAGGCATATCTTTCAAACCATACCTATATTATCTACGTCTGGCAATCCGTTATATTTTGTTTGCATTTTTTTTTGATACACACTGTACATATAGGCCATCAGCCTGGGGGGTTTGGTCGGTATCAAATGAGGGGAATAATAGTCACTGTGATTTTTGGCAAGCTATGCGCCCTGTAGTTGGAAAATATGTGATAGCATTGCAGCGGTGGCAGCTTTTTGGGTGCTATCACTTAAAAAAATGTTTTTTTAAACCGCGGCCAAAACATGCTTGTTACCACATATAATTAATCCGGTAACAAGCATATTGGCGACCATTTTGGAAAAAAAGTAATTAAAAGTGATTATTAAACACCCAAAAAACTGCCACCGCTCACACTGCAAAGCTATCACACATTTTCCCAACTCTAGATGTGCATACCTTGCTAAAAATCGCTATTAGCATTGCTCCTTTCGATCATTTGATACCGGTGGCCCGACTTCTGGACCAGAACTGATAGCCTAACAATGCTATCCTTTATTTTATTTTAATCTTTTTTCTTTGTTTTTTTGGTCAGATGTTCACCCAGTTTCAGTTAGCTTAGATTTAAAAAAAAATATAAAAAATAATTGGATGACTTTAAATGTTTCCCATTTTCCAAAATTGTTAAGATCAGTACTGTTAATCAATTAAATAATGTTAACATTTTTTTTAATATCAGTATTGAAGAATGTTTTTAAGTACTTTTTCTTTGATTATTGAGCATTTAAATTCAATAACACTTTGGTGTTATTAAATTTAAACAGCAACATGGTATGGTAATTTACATGGTAATTTAGACAGCAACATGGTATTTTTGAAACTTCTGATTTTCGCCCGAACACACTGCATTCTTAAAAGAATGCTTCGAAGTACTAGACATTTTTATTTTACAGAAAATGTAATCTTCCACTGCGAATAAAAATAACAAATACAAGAATGTTTTCAAGTACTAAATTTTTTTATTGAATACAATATTTAATCTTCCATTGCGAATTAATAACAAATTTTAGTTTCAACAAGTTTCTTGGGCGTAATTACGTGCAAGCCATTTGATTTTGTTGTTGCCATTTGATTTTGTCATTTTTCAGATTGTAATTTTTAAAACATCCATACACAAGATTTAATACATAGACGAATCCATCTTTTGTTGATATTGTCTGAATCCTACAATTACAAGTTATGTTCTGCTTTGAATTCCAATTTCAGGCTTTGATTTGAATGCACATCACATTATGAGTTCCAGATACAAACACCCTTCACAACATAGTGAACGTTTAAGCCGATTTTCGGCAAACTTTGACAGAAAATTTGACAGAATGGATTTTTTAAACAAATTTCTGGCAGAATTCTGTAAAAAAGGTTGTTTGACAGAAAAGCATAGTAAAGTTGAATAAAAAGGTAGATTTGTTTACAAAAGCTTCAATCTTTTCAAACAAACCCTTGCATAAAGGGACAGGTTGCCTTGTCTATGTGCTGAGGTTCACTGGGAATCGGATTTCGTCGTTACCAAACCTAGTTTTGACTGAAATTAACGCAATTTCATAACACCTTTATATCACTATAGATTGTTTATAATGTAATTTGAACCTTAATTAAGGCAATATTACAACATTTGCATGCGATTTTAAGTGTTTATAAAGTTTTTCGAGTAATTCATGGGGATTTGGCAGATTTTTGATATATCTGACAGTTTTTTGAAGAGCATTAAGCAGAATTTGGCGGTGACCTTACGGTCACCCTGCTTCACAACCCCATTCAAGATGATAATTTCAATTCTCACAATAGACCTTATATATCAACCTATGATTCCAAAGGGTGGTGACGTCAAAAGTCACGTGTCGTCGTTAGTCCTCCACCCCACCCCCTTCGCTCTGACGAAAAAACAAACAAATGTCGTTGGTGATATGCTGGGGCTTGAACCTCCATCCCCAAGACTGACGATCGAGGAACGTCACTCTACCGACTCGGCTACCGCCTCGCACTTACTAGGTACGAAATTTATAATATATAAAAACCTATGATTGCAAAGGGTGGTGACGTCAAAAGTCACGTGTCGTCGTCAGTCCTCCATCCCAAACCCCTTCGCTCTGACGAAAAAAAAGTCATTGGTGACATGCTGGGACTCGAACCTCCAATCCCAAGACTGACGATCGAATAACGTCACTCTACCGACTGGGCTACGGAATCGCACTAACCAAGTACGGAATTTATAATATATATAAACCTATGATTGCAAAGGGTGGTGACGTCAAAAGTCACGTGTCGTCGTCAGTCCTCCATCCCACCCACCTTCGCTCTGACGAACAAAAAAATGTCTTAAGTGACTTGCTGGGGCTCGAAACTCCAAACCCAAAACTGACGATCGAAGAACGTCACTCTACTGACTGAGCTACCGGCTCGCACTCAACAAAAGTGGAAATTATAATATAGATAAACCTATAATTGCAAAGGGTGGTGACGTCAAAAGTCACGTGTCGTCGTCAGTCCTCCATCCCACCCCCCTTCGCTATGACGAAAAAAAAAATGTCGTTGGTGACATGCTGGGGCTCAAACCTCCAACCCCAAGACTGACGATCGAAGAACGTCACTCTACTGACTGAGCTACCGGCTCGCACTCAACAAAAGTGGAAATTATAATATATATAAACCTATAATTGCAAAGGGTGGTGACGTCAAAAGGCACGTGTCGTCGTCAGTCCTCCATCCCACCCCCCTTCGCTATGACGAAAAAAAAAATGTCGTTGGTGACATGCTGCGGCTCGAAACTCCAACCCCAAGACTAACGATCGAAGAACGTCACTCTACTGACTGGGCTACCGGCTCGCACTTACCAAGTACGGAATTTATAATATATATAAACCTATTATTGCAAAGGGTGGTGACGTCAAAAGTCACGTGTCGTCGTCAGTCCTCCATCCCACCCCCCTTCTCTCAGACGAAAACAAAAATCAATGTCGTAAGTGACATTCTGAGGCTCGAACCTCTTACCCCAAGACTGACGATCGAAGAACGTCACTCTACTGACTGAGCTACCGGCTCGCACACAACAAATATGGAAATTATGATATATATAAACCTATGATTGCAAAGGGTGGTGACATCAAAAGTCACTTGTCATCGTCAGTCCTCAAACCCACCCCCCTTGCTCTGACGAAAAAAAAAATGTCATTGGTGACTTGCTGGGTCTCGAACCTCCAACCCCAAGACTGACGATCTAAGAACGTCACTCTACCGACTGGGCTACCGGCTCGCACTTACCAAGTACGGAATTTATTATCGTCGTCAGTTCTCCACCCCACCCCCTTCGCTCTGACGAAAAAAAAATCAATGTCGTAAGTGACATTCTGGGGCTCGAACCTCCAACCGGAAGACTGACGATAGAAGAACGTCACTCTACTGACTGAGCTACCGGCTCGCACTCAACAAAAGTGGAAATTATAATATATATAAACCTATGATTGCAAAGGGTGGTCACATCAAACGTCACTTGTCGTGGTCAATTTTCCAGCCAACCCTCCTCGCTCTGAGGACAAAAAAATATATATATCATTGGTGACATGCTGGGGCTCGAACCTC